GTTTCTTCTAAATCCAGGTGACCATCCAACACATGAAGAGCAAGAAGACCCTAGATTTTGCAGCAAATGCATGGTTCTTTCAAATGCAAGCTGAGGGGGATGTTATCTGTGAGCTTCCTGTAGTACAACAAGGACAAGCCATTTTTCCATGTGTGTTATTAATTTTTAGTACCATATATTGTGTACACAAATTGTTTTATAGTTGCTTAAATTTACTCCTGAACTATTTAGTTACAGAATATTTTTTCTACTTCTTTTTTATTATTTATTCATTTTTTAAAGATTTTATTTATTTATTAGAGAGAAAGAGAGAGCACGCACACGCCTGAGCAGGGAGGGGGAGGGGCAGAGGGAGAATCAGATTCCCCACTGAGCAGAGAGCCGGACTTGGGGCTCGATCTCTCATCTCAGGACCCTGGGATCATGACCTGAGCTGAAGGCAGATGCCTAACTGCCTGAGCTGCCCAGGCGCCCCTATTTTTTCTACTTCTAAGAGGGTTGTTTACCCATTGAGAAGTGACTTGTTCTGTTTCACAGCATGGTTCACTGGTGGAGCTGGGATTAAGTGTAATCTCAAAGAGGTTCCTATGGTTCAGCTACAGTTCAGCTATAGTCTCAGGGGCTGAGGCTATGAGAAAGACATAATGTCAGGTCTGGGCCTCATCTGGCTCTGCCTGGGGCCAGTTGGCCACCTCATGCCATCACCTCATTTTGGATGTATTTCCTCATTAACACTTACATCAGTTTAAACTTTAAGCATTTTATGTACAATAACATTGCCACCCTTGCCACTAAAATACTAAGCATGGAATGTCCTCCTATGTCATACATAGAACAGGCTTTTTTTTTTTAAAGATTTATTTGAGATACCACCTTATACCAGTTAGAATGGCAAAAATTAACAAGGCAGAAAACAGCAAATGTTGGAGAGGTTTGGAGAAAGGGGAACCCTCTTATACTGTTGGTGGGAATGCAAGTTGGTACAGCCACTTTGGAAAACAGTGTGGAGGTGCCTCAAAAAATTAAAAATAGAGCTATGACTCAGCAATTGCACTCCTGGGCATTTAACCCAAAAATACAGATGTAGTGAAAAGAAGGGCCACATGCACCCCAATGTTCACAGCAGCAATGTCCACAATAGCCAAACTGGAAAGAGCGGAGATGCCCTTCAATAGACAAATGGATAAAGAAGATGTGGTCCATTTATACAATGGAATATTACTCAGCCATCAGAAAGGATGAATGCCCAACTTTTACATCAACATGGATGGGACTGGAGGAGATTATGCTAAGTGAAATAAGTCAAGCAGAGGAAGTCAATTATCATATGGTTTCACTTATTTGTGGAACATAAGGAATAGCATGGAGGACATTAGGAGACGGAAGGGAAAAATGAAGAGGGGGAAATCAGAGGAGGAGATGAACCATGAGAGATTATGGACTCCGAGAAACAATCTGAAGGTTTTAGAGGGGAGGGTGTGGGGGATGGTTTAGCCCGGTGATGGGTATTAAGGAGGGCACATATTGCATGGAGCACTGGGTGTTATACACAAACAATGAATCATGGAACACTACATCAAAAACTAATGATATATTGTATGGTGACTAACAGAACATAAAAAAAAAGATTTATTTATTTATTTGAGAGACAGAGAGAGAGGGAGAAAGAGCAGGGGAGGGGGCAGAGAGAGAGAGAGAGTGTTAAGCAGACTCTGTGCTGAGTGTGGAGCTCAACATGGGGCTCCATCTCAACACCCTGAGATCACATTCTGAGGCAAAATCAAGAGTCAGTTAACCAACTGTGCCACCCAGGAGCCCAGGTTAAAAATAACCTTTTAAAAAATTCTTCTATTCCTCTTTTTGAAAAAGCTACAAGTCTTCAAGGCACTAGTTCATGGTATAAAAATGCCCATTCACAATTAAAGTTAATAATAAAAAAAAAAAGTTAAAAATCTCTCAATAGTTATAGAAAGTCCAGATTAGAGGAATTCTCATAAACTGCTTTTTACTGTAGCTTAACCCATGGATCTGGATTCTGTTTGTACGAATTCCCAGGTAATGAATTTTCTTTTGTTTCTCTGCCCTTTGCTTTGCCAGTAGTGAGATACCATGTTGATGTCCATACTGGGCAATTGAAGCGAGCAGAAACAGAGTCTGAAGTTTCCCTGTGTCTCTGTGGAGAGAGGGGAGACTCTGGTCTTAGACTGCTGGACAAATCTAACATGCCAGTAAAATTTCGAAGAGGACAGGTGAGTCCACACAAATAACCTTCCCACTGTGTTTAGCAATTACCCTGAAGGTGAACACTTCTAATTGAAAACTGAAAAGTGCTTGACAGCCTTCAAGTTTTCGTTTTAGGACATCTTTAACACAGGATTTCCTGACCAGACTTCCTAATATCCTTTGTTTTAGAAGTTCTTGAAAGAAAAATGGGACACACTCTACTAGCAGTGAATAATAGAACAAATAAAAATTACATTAAAAATTAGTGATAGTATAATAAAAAAAATGAGATGATATCAGGGAAAAATATATATGAACATACCCTGTTAGGACTGAAAAGTACAAAGTATTATTCTAAAAGGTCAGGTCATAGAAGGGCCATTATAGTATATTTCACATAGGAACACAGTAGCCTTTCTTTAAAACGTCTTGAATGGAACCAACTAAATTATTTTCACACCTTAAGCCCTTCATTATTCCTCTTTTGTCCTGTGTGTGTGTGTGTGTGTGTGTGTGTGTGTGTGTGTGTATGCATGAGTCTTCTATATATTAGATGTTTGAGGAGTGGCAGTGAGATATATGATCAACCCAGTTAATTTTTTTTTAAGATTTTATTTATTTATTTGAGAGACAGAGAGCATGAGAGGGAGGAGGGTCAGAGGGAGAAGCAGATTCCCCGCTGAGCAGGGAGCCCGATGGGGGACTCGATCCCGGGACTCCAGGATCATGACCTAAGCCGAAGGCAGTCGCTTAACCAACTGAGCTGTCCAGGCACCCAACCCAGTTAATTTTTAATGTTATTTTGTTATATATAGAAAGAAAATACTATTTGGGGTCTGTAACTAAAAATAAGGATTATGTAACCCTAGGATATATTTTTAAGAAAGAAAGCTCTCAAACCAGTTTGGGAGTGCTATTTCTCAAATTTTCTTGTAGTTGGAGTTCATGAATTATTTTGAGACAGATCTTAAAGACCACCTAAGCTTGTATTGTCACAGCAGATTACATAGATGCTTTCATCAGAATGAAGAAGAAAGCTGGGTCTGCTTTGGATAAGGGAATAAGCAAAATTGTGCCTAGTTTTTGTCATCACAAGTGAATTAATTTTGAGTAGAAATTTTGAGTGAGTTTTATATGTCATAATCTTATTACTATTATTACACCAAGTGATCAGTGATGTTATCCCCTAAGGAATCCTCCTAGCTTTCCTTCAGTCCCAGATTCATTCACCCTGACATTTTATGATATATCTGATGGTGGAGGCTCCGTCTTTGCTGGTTGTCTGCTAGTTGGTCTATTGGTGTGTAGCATCATGTGAGGTTACATGCTAAGATTTCACAAGTCATCTTCATGGTTAATCTTCAGTTCATTACGGTGTATAGTATTTACCAGAGAATGGGGAGGGTGCATTATAGATGAAATTAAATTGGGCAGGAGGTATAATTGCAATCAATGTATAGACAGAAGTAAAAATGTGGGTTTACTGGTATGTTTTGAGGTTCAGAATCAGAGATACAAAAGTATTTTTCTTCCCTGGCTCATTTCAGATTTTTCTATTATTTTCCTCAATGCATGGAATATAATGGGAATGCAAAATGATTTCAAGAGTTTTGCAGTTGAGAAACTGTGATAACAACCTTTTAGTTTATTACCAGAATGATTTTACACCAGCCACAGCTCACATCCTTAACCACTGATTCAGCTTTTATTGCCATTTTTCTCTACAGAGTGTCCAGTGGTATAATCAAAATGCAGTATCATATGTAATAGACCTAATTTAATTCTATTTTCCAAACTAAGGTTACTTGAAGAAATAAGAAGTAACCAGGAAGCTGATTTAGGCAATCTTTCTGGACCTTGAAGTATCGTAGTTTGGATTTGCTTCAAAGCAGACCATAAGACAAAGACCGGGATACAAGTAATTTATTTGGGAGTTGATCCCAGTAACTACCTTTGGAGTGAAGGAGTTGGGAAAATGAGTCAGGAAAGGGAGAAAAGCAATATAGGGACATTAAGGAGCTGGAACTCCTTCTTGCTAGGAACCTTAAGAAACCCAGCAGAACACCCCTCAAAACTCTCCCACAAGAGGGAAGCCCTCAGACAAAGAGGCAGTGAGACCTAGAGGGTTGAGACAGAAAGCCTTCAGCATGCCTAAATTATCTACAAAAGCAGGAGGTGAACTCTGAAAGGGACCTAGAAGACAGGGGTGGGGCATCAAGCACATCTGCTACAGCAGGTGGTGTGTATTCCTGAAGCATAGGAGAAAGGAAGGAAGGAGGGAAGGAGGGAGGAAAGAAGGAAAAATTTGTTCCTACATGCCTCAAAATATATCAATATCCATGGAAACTAAATATTTTGCATATTAGGGCTCATGGTTTTCAACCTGTCCACCTACTAAACTTTGTCACAGGAGCAGGAATCTGAGTGAGAGAAAAGCCACAAACTGGAAGTCTTTGTATTAGGGTTTATTTCTTACACTGGATACTGTTATAAACGGAGAAAATAAAACTCCAAGAGAAAAGAGCACAGAGATGTATTTTGAATAGATCAAAGTAATTTGCTTATTTTTCTTTCCTTCTTACCCCTTTTGATGCTAACTGTAGTAACGTTATCTCTTTTAAAGTATTGGGCTATTATTATTGCCTGCATTTGTCATGCGCTGGACTCCTGTTATTTCTGTGGGGTTTGTCTCTGTCTCCTGCACCAGACCGATACATTTCAAGTGGAAGCAGTGTCACTTGGAAAACTGCAGAAGGTGCTGTTGCGCTGCGAGGCCAGTGAGGAATCCCAGTACTGGTATTGTGAGAAGGTCGTGGTCAGAGAACCTGGCACTGCAACTGAGTCCGTCTTCACCTGTGAAAGGTAGTACTGGTCCCTGTAGTACTTCAAAGACTGTGTTGCAATGTGGATAATGCTGGGTGTGTGTGAGTGTCTGTGTATTTTAGGTGCATGTGTGTTTTTGTGTCATTTATTCAGTATTCCACATCATCTTCACTCATTGATTGCTTGAATAAATAATCTATTGCTAAACATTGTAAAGGAATCTTATCTTACAATTTCTTATTATTTCAATGTGCTATATGTCACAAAAGGATCAGATGTTTAATACTGGAGAATTTTACATCAGTCATGGGAATATTTGTTTAAATGTTGGTTTCTTTACATTACTTAAAATTATAGTTATAATTATAACAGTTATAGTTATAACAATTTCATAAGGGAATTAAGCAAGAAGAATTTTAGCGAGAACTCTCAGAATAGAACCCAAGAAAGACAAAGGTTAAAATCTAGGTAACTTAGGCTTTCCCTTGAACTCCATGACATACAACATTGTGTAAATTTAAGGTATACAATGTGTTATTTTGATACATTCATATCTTATAATATCATTGCCTTTGTAGCAATATTTACACATTATATAATTATAATTATAGTACAGTATATTCATTACACTGTGCATTAGATGTCCATGGACTATTTACTACTCCTTGCAAGTTTGTACTCTTAAACACCATCAGTCTTATCCTCCCTATCCTTTGGCAACCATTTCTGACTTGGCCCTATTGCCTCCAGGTTTAAGCCTTGCTCTCTAGACCTTTGCTGAGTCCTCTCTCAAAGAAGCTCCCAGCTTTTGCCAGCTAGGCATTGATGCTTATTGTTGCTTGGTTCTCACCCCAGGGAAAATGATTCAGACCCATGAATGGGATTGAATTAGAGCAGGGTTCTACACAAAAACCCAATCTATTGTGGACATGGAGTAATAAACTTGAGGCTCTATTTTGAAATTTTGAATCCTCAATGTTGGGACCCTTCAGCCTTCTTTCCAAATAGATAATCAATAGGAAATAAGGCAAAAAAAAAATATAGACAAAAATGACACTGGAAAATGCAGGCATACAGATTTGGAGATGTCAAAACAATTACATCTTTAATTACTAAGCAAAAAGTAGAACAGAAAATAATGAACCAATTCAAGTAAAAATCCTAAATGCATGGCACTAAAAACCACTGGCCAGGGATGACTGGGGGTGACCCTAATGGAGAAGGAGCAGTGGGAACCACAGTAGGCTCTCCCTCTTTTCTACCTTTTGAGATCTTAAATTGAGTCAATTCCTTCTCAGAGTACCTGTTTAACTCATCCCTTCTTTTCTGTTCTCACTCCCTCTACTCCAGTTGTGTTCTCTACCAGATTACTGCGGTAGTCTCTGGACTGTCTGGATTCCTCCTTCTCCGGTCCTCCCTGCTCACCACTTTCTAGCTAATTTGACTCTGTGCTAAGAGGGCAGCATCTAGCTAATCTGACTCTTGACATTTACAAACATCATTCTGACTTTAGCTTATCTTTTCTTTCATTTTTCTTTTGCTCTTTTTGAAGAATAAATTCCTTAGTATTTTGTTGTATAGTTTTGTCCTAAATTTTTTCAAGAAAAAAATATGGGGAAAACATTGTTCCCTTATTCCTAAGGCAGTATTTTAATTGCATCTTTTCCCTGTTCAAAAATCTTCATTAATCTCTGTTGAATACCATAAACCAAAAACAATATATGATCTTTCCATTGAAGAATTTGACTCCATTACCCCCTTCCAATTTGTTTTTTAATTGTCCTCTTGCAAGATCTTAGTGAAATTAGACCATCTATTATTTTTTTTTAAAGATTTTATTTATTTATTTGAGAGAGAGAAAGAGCACATGAGAGGGGAGAGGGTCAGAGGGAGAAGCAGACTCCCTGCTGAGCAGGGAGCCCCATGCGGGACTCGATGCTGGGACTCCAGGATCATGACCTGAGCCGAAGGCAGTCGCTTAACCAACTGAGCCACCCAGGCGCCCTAGACCATCTATTATTGCCAGAACAAGTTCTGTTCCATTTGCTTCTGTCCCTTGGACTGTGCTATTCTTCACTCAAGAATGCCCTTCCTTACTCTACTGTTCTTCCTCTTCCTTTAAGTTCCCATTCAAATTCTGCCGCTAGCATGAGCTAATTGGCCCAGCTGGAAATATTTTTCCTTCTCCTAGTGCTTTCTCTGAACTTAGCATAACACAGAACCCCCCACTGGCTAAGTGACAAGTCGTGATGAAGAGGACTGGGCATCCCCTCCCAGCCTCTCCCACCCACAGCACACACCCATCTTTGGGGCAGAGGGGAGGCTGTATTTTATTCCTTACATCAGAAGAGCTGAAAAATTTTGATTACAAAATACGTTAAGTGACCAAAGGTAATATAATAGATATGCACTGTCCTGACATAGTGAATGTTAATATTTGATGTTCTGCACATAGTAATAGGTCCTGAAGCAATGGGAGCCAATACTCATTCACACAATACCCTGATGAGGAAAGTAAGTTGCAAAAATCATTCCTTCCTATCCGTGGGTCTGAAGAGATAAGGCAGATCCTGCCTTTTTAGCTCTTAAAGAAGCAGAAGAGTAGTGGCCCCAGGAATAGAACTCGGGCACAGCAGGTTCCTTTCTACAATAGAAGACCACTCAGAAGCTGTTGGTGGTTGCTTCTGTGCTATGAGCGCCTTCTCTCTGCATGTGAAAGGGCAAGGACAACTTACTGTAAGGCAGGTGTGAGTCTGGATGGCCCCTCTGATAGGAAAGGAGACCCACGCTGCACATAGGAGCCGGACAGACCTCTTTCTGGACTGCCTATCCTCTTCTCAGACCTGACAGGGAGCTGGCCAAGGTGGGGTGCTGGGTGCATTTATGACGGCTAATGAGTTCGGGGGTGTAGGCAGCAGAAATGCTCAAGTATATACATCACAGGGGAAAAGGAAAGAAAATCTCAGTATGCTCCTTGATGCTTCCTTATGGGGCAAGAATTTACAGCACAGCTGAATTAGGACAGAGAAAAAGACCACCAAGTGTTCATTCCTTTTATAAGTTAAGCGGGAAAAAGTGAAATATAAAGCACAGCTACAGGAAGAAGATGCTTTTGTGATCACAGATGCTTCCCGTGAGGATCCGCATCTCCTTTTCTTTTTTTTTCTTTTCTCCTCTTCAACACCCACATCCTTATGGTTTTATTTTATTTCTATACCTGAAGATTTTATTTTTCTACTTTTTGTACATTTAATGTAGATAGAGTACACACCACTGAATTTCTACCACTTACACATAAAGTTTGGCTATTTGAGGTTTGGAGCAAGCAAAATTTGTATTTAAAGCAGACAAGCATTCCCCTGACCATGAAATGAAGTAAATATTCTTATTTACTCTTTGTATTAGTTTCCTACGACTGCCATAACAAATCACCATGAGTTTGGTAGCTTAAAACAAGAGAAACTTATTCTCTCATAGTCCCGGAGGCCAGAAGTCTGAAACTCTGGTATCAGCAAGGTCAGGCTCCCTCTCAAGTCTCTGGGGAACGATCTTTCCCTGTCTCTTCTAGTGCATCTGGTGGCTGGGTGGTTGCCTGCAGTCTTGGGTGTGCTTTGGTGTACAGCTGCATCACTCCAGTGTTTGCCTCTGCTGTCACATGGCTGTGCTTTTCCTTTATGTATGTGTCTCTGTGTCACTTCTCCTCTTCTTATACGGACACTGGTCATTAGACTAGGGCTCACTCCACTTTACATCTGCAAAGAGCCTGTTTTCAAATAGGTCACATTCTGAAGTTCTGTTTGAACATGAATATTTGGGGGACACTATTTAATCCAGTACACTATTTGAGGGGATCTCACAATGTACTAGCCACTGCAGGGTTTATTAGCATTAAATTAGAGATTTCTAGACTTTTCTGTATATTACCAAACTTGTACATGTTGTGTACATGTGTGTGTATATATATGTGCATGTGTGTAGACTTTTAATAATGAAATCACTGGAAAAAAGTTAGTATCTACCTTTTAGAAGACACAGTGTCATTTATGAATATATTTGTTAACCCATATGACCCAGGGGGGTCTAGATTCGCAGACAATTAATAGCAAAGTTCTTCAGCCTGAGGACAAGGAGGGCCAGGAATCTCTCCGTGTTGCCTTCCATTATTCCTAACTGGTTTGGGAATTGAAATTGGCATTAGCTTGTGGGAGCAGCTTATTTGAAATAAAGATCCACCTAAGGGGACTTCTAAATAGAAGGTGATTTATGGATGAGAAATTGAAAAGTTAAATACAAATAAATGATGTTTTAAAAAACTATCTAACTTGACTTGTCAAAGCAGAACAGCATGACCTGCTTTGTCCTCTCAAAACCAAACCATGGTCAGATAGGTGGAGTGACCCTGAAGCATATTATCCTAGGGAAGAAGGACAAGACGCTGCACAGCGTTCCTTAGAGTTGATATTGCAACTAATACTTTTAAACTGTTCCAGCCTCATTTCTATTCAATAATCTTTATTTTATTTTATTTTTTTTTTGAGAAAGGTTGAGATCATTTCTTTTGTGTAAAAGTGGAAGAACAAACACTTTTAAAAGTCTCCACTTTGGATAGAATAGACTGTCAGCAAATCCTGGGTACTTTTTACACATGGAATGCCACCTCCACTCAAGGTCCATGCTCACCATTTCATAATCTCCAACATCTTCTTACTAATTGTTGAAAAGAGGGTCTGTTGCTCCATTAAAATAAGTGTGAGCCCCATAGGCATGTGAGGCAGGCATTTGAACAGAGCAGGTAAGAGGCCTTCCTCATACCCTTGAGATAGCCCCACTGGCAGCTGACGCCAGCCTTGCACAGACTGGGGTAGACTTGGCTCTTCTCTGCTCCCGGTTAGCCCTCAGTGCTCCTTTCCGCTGGTGCTGTCCTGTCGGAGTTAGCCCAACTCCTGATCCTCTCCTGGTGCCTAGAGTCTGGTGGGCTCTCACTCTGCTGACCGGTGAATTAACAAGAGGTTGTGTCCCCTCTGCTAGGGAGGCATTCCTAAACCTTCAGGTTGGGCCAACTGTCCCTTCCATACCTTTACCAAAGCACACAATGTTAACTCAGCACTTATTACCTGTAATTGTATTTATGTGTTTATGTCTCTCCAACTTTTCCCAGCTCTCACAAGACGTTCCTCAAGGTCAGGCTGATGTCTTATATTTCTACTTTCAACCCCTACCATGTATCCCACAGTAAAATAATACAGCTTAAAATTACATGTGTATTCAACTGAACCAAAGGGCATATATTAATGGAGACACCATAAGCCCTAAGGGAAATCACATTAAATGAAGATTTGGAATTAGAACATGGAATCTAAAAGGTTTAAATATGTCTTAGTCTCACTAAGACATTATAAACAAAATTATCACTTAATATTAATTTGAAGTATTAATACAATACCAAAGAGTGGGGGATTCTTAGAATGAACACAGGAGTTAAAAAGAAAGTCTAATATTCCACTGGTTTTTATGCCAATAAATGGTTTATTTGTCTCAGGATATCTCAGTCTTGAAAAGCTGAAGTTTACTGGCGGATCAGCCACAACAGGGACTTTTCTGCCTTCACTGTCTGGCAGAGAGGGGTGCATTTTCTATGGTTTCCTCTCTGTGGCTTCAGGCACTGGCAGGGCTGCCTTTGATGCAAGAGATTCTTAAACAGAAGCAAGGCTAATGATCACCTCTCCACCGTTCCATTGTTCTCATTCACAAAGCATTTTCCTTACTTAACTGCTTCACGCCAGCTCTGGTGTTCGTTCCAAGGAAATCACATGTGAAGGTCCATGCCCCTAGAAAGTGGAAATCAAGACCTTCAGTATCCATAGGACAAACTGATCGTAAAATGTTGTAGGTGCTCAGGAAGTGTGTGCTAAATTTGGCAAATTTGTGAATAAACCGTAAACTAAGTCATATACAGAGCAGGACTTAATTTGTGGAGAGGGTCAGGAAAGGAACCAGTGCAGCCCAGCTGAAACAGCACCCTTCTTTTGCATAACCACAGTGGACAAGGGAAGTGTCACAACCAGGCCCACTATGTGTAAGGTCTTAGTTTGTGGTGCCAGATGCAAAATGAGTTGACCCCTCCTGTCTCCCCGTCAATCTTTTAGGCTTCTCTTCCAATTCTCCCTAACAAAGTATGTTTTGCTCCCTTCCCTAGACATTCTTCAGGAACATTAATACTCTCTTACCTCACATGTCTCAGCATTTTATTCTTTCCTCTGCTTAGTGAAATCCTTAGCCTTCAAGGCCCAGGATAAAATGCTATCCATGCCATGAAGCTTTCTCTGCTTGCCCAACCAGAAGTGAGTTTACTTTCTTTAAAATTCTCTAGTGCTGGGTGCCTGGGTGGCTCAGATGGTTAAGCGTCTGCCTTCGGCTCATGATTCCAGGGTCCTGGGATTGAGCCCCACATCAGACTCCTGGCTCAGGGGGGAGCCTGCTTCTCCCTCTCCCTCTGCCTTCCCCCCACTCATGCTCTCTCTCTCTCTGTATCTCTGTGTCTCAAATGAGTAAATAAAAAATCTTAAAAAAAAATAAAATTCTCTAGTGCTTTACTTAGACCTCTATATGCTACTCACCACACCATGTCATCCACTGTCATTGTTTATGAATGTGTTTGTCTCATGTGCTAGATGATAAACTTCTTAAGGGTAGGGTCTCATACATTTGTTTTTATTGTCCAACATGGTTTCTTATTCCAAGTACAGACTTGGCCAATACTTAAAGAAGGAAGGAAGGAAGGAAGGAAGGAAGGAAGGAAGGAAGGAAGGAAGGAAGACAGGAATGGGAGCAAGGGAAGGGGAGAGGAAGGGAGGGAAGGAAAGACTAATAAAGAGTGTCACCTTCTTAGGCCCCTTCCCCACCAAAAACAGCCCATATATTCGAGGGCAAAGTCACTCAAATGCATTCCATGGTTGTCTACTTTAACCTTAAAAGACTAGAGCAAATTTATTTTGTTTCTGTGTTTGTGTTTCCTAGTTAGCCCAGTGAAAGGGAACCCCCTCTTGACCTGGGGTTTTGAAGAATGTTTCTGCTGGTGACTGCATAATGTGTATGGTGATCTTAGGCAAGCAGGCTCCTCCTGCTTACTTTTTATTCTGTTTCTTTAATATCACCATGCTCCTCTCAAGCCATACTGCTCCAATTCTTTTCATCTGTTCGCTGGATCTGGGGGAATTTTCATGTCCTCACGTAAAACAATGGTTCCCAATCTTCAACAACTAGTCTTGGCTGATTCTCTCAGTTTTTTTTTTTTTTTTTTTTTTGCAGCTCATTCTGGGATAGAAATTAAAGGATGGGGGTGGATACAGGTCTAGGCAGGTAGGTAGAGGCATATATACAGCAGAAAATATGTGTGTGCTGCAAATAACTATCATCTGCAGCAACTAAGATCTATCCTGTTCTATTAATTAGAAATGGTTCATGAATAAATATGTAATGGCACTATAAAACTATTTTAAAAAAAATTCATAGAAATTATGACCACTCTGGAATTGAGAGTTTATCAACTTGTCTTGATGATTCCACATTAAGAAATCTGAACCTGGAGCAATTTAGAGGGAGTTATTTTTAGTAGGTATCCAGTACTCAGAAGTCTCAGTGGCTTTCAGGGCCACAGCCCTGCATTAATCCAGTATCTTCTAAAAAAAGAGAAACCATAGAAGGGACCTTCCATAAACGGACTAAACAAAAGACAAGATGAGAGTATGATTTTTAAAATTTCAGTTGTTCAGTCAATAAACTCTGGTTTGTTTGCAAGGATGAGGAATTCACTAAGATTAATGTTAAAAGGGCAACTTTGAAGGTGACTCTTATAGAACCCAGCTTTAAGAAATAAAGCTAGACATTATAAACTAGAGAGTCATCAGAAAGCCAGTCACTCTCTTTGGATTTTGAAGGTGTCTCTTCATTGAAAATCTCTATTCTTCTCTCTGTACAACAGCTGCTTCTCTTTGTACACAGGCTTTTCTCTCCCATATCTTTGGCTTGCAGCTAGCTTTGCACTCCAAAATATCACCTGGCCTTAACAATAGAGGTACTGTGAAATCTCCATGAGCAGTGCCATCTGATCACAGTTTCTATATCTCTATGTAAAGATATTAAGACTGATTGACCAAGTGTAGATCAGGTGTCCATATCTGCCCCAATCAGCTAGGACAAGAGGCAGGTCCTCTGGTACAAACCTTACTGTTCAAGGCCTCCCTGTCTATAGCACACTTGCAAAGCACGGGCAGAAGTGGTTAGAAGGAAATGGGATCTCTCAAAGCTTTTGAAAAATAGAGAGATGAACTGTCCTGAGAGCTGAGCAGAACAGCATGAGCTGACATAGTTCACCTTTATACCTCACCTATTAGCATCATCTGGTGATTCCAAGGCTATTGTGGTGGAGTAAATCCCATAGCTCCACCTGAGTCACTTGACATTCTCAGATCCAGTGACCTCCCCTTCAGTGTCCTTCCTCTCAGGGTCCCCCACCCTGCCCCCAAGTCTTTCCCAGCAGCCTCCTGTGCTTCATCCATGTAGAACCTCGTCTCTGTACTCTTACCAATGCTATTTTTTCTCCCTGTGATGCCCTTCCCATCTCTCGTTTGCCTAACAGACATCTTACCTACTGCCCAAACTTCGGATTAAGTGTCACCTCTTTGTTGACATTTGTTTGTTCTTTATTCCTTTGTACTTCCTCATTCTTGCCATTCAGAGTTGGTCAGTCTCCTTTCTGTTCCTGCAATATCTGTAAATATTTCTTACATCACCTACGACTCTGTACATTTATACCTTTACACATCTATTTCCGCATTTTACACTGAAAGCTCCTTCAGCTCAGGTTCCTGGTCTCTACTGTTCTTTCCGAATCCCCAGCACTTAGCAAAGGGCCTGGCACACAGAAGGCATTTTCTAAATGTTTATTGAATATATGGATGGATGGATGGATGGATGGATGGATGGATGGATAGAAGGAATGGAAGTGTGTTTGAATATGGGATAACAGTAACTGTTTATTGTGATATAATAATAACATTTATGTACCATGTGACTATTCATTTCAACTTTACAGCAGCTCTGTAAGGAGATAATTTAGTCAAGGAAATAAGCTTCAAGAGGGTAATATCCCAAAGCTGAAAGTGATAACATTGGTTTTCTGAGTTCAGCCTTGGCTTTTTCTACAACATGGAGCTTCTAACACAGAAGTTTGGCTGATTTAGAGGGAAACTGCCAGGATGAGCTACTACTTAGCATAAGCACATTTTCCAAGGTGGTAATATTTTCATCAAATTTTAAGGTACTACCACTATTTTGGAGACACTGAGGAAGAGATATTAAAGGAAGTTATGTGAAAGCAAGGTAGAGACCTCTGTAGAGGATGTATTAAAATGAGGGAACTTATTTTTCTGTGCCAACAGGTGAGTGACACTTTCTAGCCTAGCCCAGGTATCAGGCTCAAAGTCTGAGACCAGCCCTTGCCTCATTACAGCTTGGTAGGGCAGTGCTCTGCTGGAAGCCCAGGTACATTTATGAGTGTTAGTGACTGAGGACTGATGAATTTGGAGAGGTAGATGGTTAGCAGGTTTAGTAGTTTATGTGTTTTATTATTCAAGCCAGAGTTATAACATCATTCCTACCACAATCATGAGTTCACAGTAAATTGGATTGTTTGACTTTATAAAAAGCTGTTTTTATAGTTACCTTTTAATGTTCAAAATTAGTGCAGAATTGAGCTTATTGTAAAAATTGATAAAAGCAAAAATTAATTTTCTCTTCTTTTTTCTTCTCTCTTTTTTCTCTCTTTTCCTCAGATGGCTTCCCTTTATGTCTCAGGGCATAATTCATTCAGAAATGGAACTTTATCTTCAAGGTGAGGATTAATGAAATCTTCAGTAGAATACAAGATGATTTTTTAAAGGTTTTATTTAAGTTCTGTTTAGTTAACATACAGTATAATATTAGTTTCAGATGTACAGTATAGTGATTCAACACTTCCATACATCACTTGGTGCTCATCATAGCAAGTGCGCTCCTTAATCCCCACCACTTACTTAACCCCCACCTACTTAACCCATTCCCCCTACCCATCACCTCTCTGGTAACCATCAGTTTGTTCTCTATAGTTAAGAGTCTGTTTCTTGGTTTGTCTCTCTCTCTCTCTTTATGGAAACAGCCCAAGTGTTCATTAACTGATGAATAGATAAAGAAGATGTGGTATATACACGCACACACACACACACACACACACAATGGAATATTATGAGATGATTTTGATACAACTGGGTGTCATGGAACATTAGCCATTTGCCCCCAGAATGTCCCTTTTGATAGTTTAACCTTTGCATCAGATTTATCATTATTCCTCACAGTGAAAATAAAAGCAGGTGTAAAGATGTGTCTTGGCAACATTATATGCCCTACTGTAGGTTAAAAATAAGCCTAAGGCTTTGCTACCATTAAAGTATTTTTTTAAAGATTTTATTTATTTATTTGAGAGAGAGAGTACAAGTGTGGGGGGGAGGAGCAGAGGAAGACACAGATTCCCTACTGAGCGGGGAGCCTGATGTGGGACTTGATCCCAGGATCATGAGATCATGACCTGAACCAAAGGCAGACACAACCATCTGAGCCACCCAAGTGCCCCATGCTACCATTAAATAGTTAACTCACACTTCTTTCTCTCCCACTTATAATGTCTCAGATCTATTATTAACTGCACTTCACTTTTATTTTTGCAGAAATGCAAATAAATCATCAACCTAAAATACAAGAGGAAGCAACTGGTAAATGTTGTTGCCGCTTTTCATCTTCTAATCATCTGAAATGATCTATTTCTGTTTCAAGATTACCTGCCTTATACATTTTTTAGTATATTCTTACTGAGTTTAAACTATTGATCCAAAAATATTTAAAATGAGTGTAGGAACAGGCATTATATTATGGTTTGATTTATAAAGAAACAAACATAAGAAACTTTAGCCCCAAATGTTTTTTCCCTTCAATAATTTAAATACATGGGTGAAGTAATCATTTTCCAAATGATTAATTTCTATTAATTGTCCTTTTTTAAAAACTAATTTGCATATTGGTTCTCAGTTTTCTTTTTAAGTCTTTTGAGGTTAGCTTTTTCAATTAGATATTCTTCAAATCAACCTGCAATAGTTATTAATATATTTACATTTTAGAGCTGATCTGAATGAGATGGATAAATAGAAATTACTAATATGCATACCAAGTTAACAAACCTTTATGTTCCCCAAAATGTTTGTACTGTGTGGCAATTTGAAACTAGGCAAGGGTTAATGCTAACATTATTATATTCGTAAAGTCCTGTATTGATTAGGATGGCCACTGAGATGCAAATAGTATGTCCATTCTGATAACCAGCATTTGCATTTATTATGTTAGAAATTGTATTTTGGCTTATATTTTACTTTTGTTTTTTAGTTGTGTGTAGGGGAAAAGCTATGCATGTGTCAGACTGTTAATGTGGATGTAATTTTACTACTGTTCTAGAATCCCTTAGTAATTTTAAGGGACCTCAAAGTTCTGTCTTACAGTAAGCCCCTAAGTAATAAAGCTTGAAATGGCACTCTAAGTAGAAAAATTAACTATTAATCTCGGGACTCAATGGTGTATATATGAGTAATATAGGGTAATAGTTTTTTTTAAGGATTTTATTTATTTATCTGTCAGAGAGAGAGAAGAGAGAGAGTGAGCACACAAGGAGGGGGAGCATCAGGCAGAGGGAGAAGCAGGCTCCCCACTGAGCAAGGAGCCAGATGCGGGACTCGATCCCAGGACCATGGGATCATGACCTGAACTGAAGGCAGAACTTAACTGACTGAGCCACCCAGGCGTCCCTAGGCTAATAGTTTTGAACTAAAGATTTTAAATAAGGATGAAAATGTTGAAAGTCCTATGTTAATAATATTAACCATATAATCAACATTGTGATACCGAATATAATGAAGTTGCAGTATATAGCAGACGTGTTTACCAAGGAGTTTGGTAAATACAATTTTTTAGTGTAATTTTGATTAAATAAAGTATAAAATGTTTTCTTACAATTAATCATTCTTTCGTTTTAGTTTATTTTTATGGTCTCATTAAAATGTCTTTATTTTTTATAGTACAAATGCAGATTAATCACAGACCTTAGTTCATGGGACACTACCATTATTTGTCTGTGAATGGTCTTCTTTTATTTTATTTCATTTTTAAATTCTGAAGAATGTTATCTTTAATATTTCCTGAGATATGATTCCTGGGATACATTAGTAGTTTTATAGTTATATGAATAAGCTAGTTTATGGTGTGGAAAGAACCTTGGGAAGTTAAGTAGTCTAATCTGATGAGGCAGTGTGACATTGTGGTTAAGAGTGTTGAAGAGCAAACATGAGTCTTAGATTTTGAAAGTACATGAAGCATGTTTATATAATTTTTGCCCTTCTGTATAGCTGCAGTGGGAAGAACATAGACCAAGATGCTATTTCAGTCTAATGGTAGAGAGGAAAAGAAGGAATCAACTGAGTTAATTTCATTTTGAGGTGATTAACAATAAATACAATTATGAGCCATCATTAACTCCAGGCCGTGTTTAATGAATTCCCACAATTATCTAAGACATATTTCCCAAACTTGATACCTTATAAAAATAAATATTTATAATTCATATAGGTGAAATCATTTATCATAGTAAAACTGTATTTCTGAGTTAGACTGAACTTGGTCATGGATAATATTTTTAATGTACATTGCTGGATTGAATTTTCTAACAGTTATCAATGCCATTTGTATAATGCTTATAGCTAGCCATTATGGTAAGCTCTCTTTTAAATTCTAATAAATTTATATTAATTCTATAATAATAAATACATTAAATTAATTCTAATAAATTTTCACTTACTCTTTGAATGATCTGTGAAAGCAGCCATATCATATGTGAATAATGACACCTTTTCTTGTCCTGAGATGCTATCTAGGTCTGTGGGACAATGTGGAATAGAAGTGGTAATGGCAACATTAATAATGAACTCATATAGCATTTACTATGTAGGGTCTAAGGGTTTTAGATATATTTATTTAATCCTCACAATAATCCATGAGGTAGACAGTATCATTATTCCATTTACAGATAATGAAACTAAAGGACGTGCTTAAAAAAAAAACAAAACTCATATAAGTTCACACAGGTGGCAAATAGCAGATTTGGAATTTGAATCCAAATGGTCTGACTCCAGAGTATACTATTCTTTAAAGGAACTTCTTTTAACTGTCCCTAGTCATTAGGAATGTGTGTGTATTTATACACGTGTATACATCATCTGTGCCTTGGTATTTATTTTGTTGTATTGTTTTTCTAGATGATTAGGCTGTATTTTTAGATCTTTAGGTTTAACCTTTTTCTAGATGCAAGTGAAAGGATGTTTTTAATTCTTGGGGAGATTATTATTATTGTTATTATTCTTAGTAATCTTTTTTCACCTAGAACCTTTGTGGAGACAAATTAGGTTTCTGCGAGGCTTCCTTTGCTGACGATTATTTGGAGCCCAACCTTTCACTAAGGGTGTAGACACTTTTGGCTTACTTCAAAAGTCTCAGGTCCAGCTCCCAGACTTATGTGGCTGCAGTCTCCCATGTCCTGGCCTGGGGTATTGACATTTGCCACAAGCACAACTCCAGCCTTCCAGAGTGCTGACTACTCACTACTTCTGCGGATGGCACCTTTGTTATTATTATTATTATTATTATTATTATTATTATTATTATTTGGCAGTGGGGAATTTTTCTTTCTTTCTTGGAAATGAATTAATGTACTAAAAAGTTTGTTTTTCTTTTTCAATTTGCCCAGAATTCAGTGGTATTATAGTGACAGGGCTTTAAAAATATCATCCCAAGAAACTGGCTTGAAGTACCAGAACGTTAAGTCAGTTAGTAACTGAAAGAACTGGTATTAGAATTCAGCTCTTAAGCATTATACAAAACTGTTTCACTTTAAATGGCTAGCTTCCTGCATGCTCTCAAGGGTTTCTGACTTGAGGGGCTGTAAAATTCTTGGAGCACTTACATATTTATAGGGAATGTCAACTCTTTGTAGCATGATTATTAGCAACTTGGTGGATTATCTGGGGTAAAGATTATTAAAATATTTTCTCTTTCTCAATTCTATTTTCTATACATGTTTGCAGATCTCACTACCCATAGTGTCCGCTCTAGGAAAGAAACTGAAATTTAATTATTGGTTCAACATAATTAAGAATATAAACTCTTTTATAACATCATCATGCATTCCAAATCAAGTGTAGATGGCTTTGAATTGCCCCCTGCTCTGATCATTTACGGCACATGGTTTTTGTAGTTGTATGGATAAAGATGTGACCACCTGCTCCTGTGTTGGAAACTTCTACCTGTTTGGTCAGTTTTTCTTCCTGGATAGGAAGACAGGCTGTGGGTACCTGGGAACCTGGGCGGGTCTGAGGGGTCAGTGTCCCAGATAAGTGCCTGTGATGTGTGCACCTGAAATGCCAGAGAAACCATCTCTGGGATTGCCTCATCAATCCCGACATATGTTGCTTGAAACTTGGTTAACAAATTCAGTGCAGCTAAATGGGAAAAGAGAAGTCAATGTGGGGACAAGTTTGGAACCAGAAGGAAGAAGGTGAGCTCATAGGAATTCTAATCAGAGGCCAGATATTTGCTGTGAATTGCTGTTTGACATGGGCTGCCAGGAAGAGTTAAGTGAGCAACCAGGGAAACACTGCAGTGCTTCTCATGCCCCCTGCTTGGCTTTTGCCTCATTTTTTCCTGGCAGTAAATGGCCAGTGTTTGGATAGTCATTTATGCTGCATTGATTCTAGAATATTGATTCATACCTTTTCCTGACTGAGACAAGATACCTATAATTCAACATAGTAATTGAATATAATGGGTTTGACACTAAAACAATAATATGGTCTCAGTATCTTCAGAACATCCAACAGATATGCAGATACATTGCCACAAAGAGCCTACTCTCAACCAATTTCTATTTGGAGATAATTCACAAAAAGCATAGTGCAGTTTGGGATGAAATAGGATTAATCAAATGGCTCTTACTTAGTCTGAGGCAAGATTTCCCAACCTTGAGACTGTTGATATTTTGGGATGGATAATTCTATGTTGTGGGGAATTGTCAAGTATACCATAGGATGTTTAGCAGCATCCCTGAACCTCTACCCACTAGATGCTGATAGCACTCAGCCACCAGTTGTGACCATGAAAAATGTCTTCAGGCTTCACCAAATGTTTCCTGGGTGGGGAAATGACCCCCAGTTGAGAACCACTGACCTAGGGAATGGTGGTTCTGTTGGAAAAGGGGGCTGAGGAGTTGGGATGTGCAAGTCTGGAGAAGTAGATGTGGCAGACTATTTGCTAAAATGCTGTAACTACATTTCCTGTCCCATGTACTCTTCCAGAACCTTGCCAATTCCCCATCAAAAGGTGGAATCAACTTAGGCAGACCTTTGAGACTGCCTCAACTAATAGCGTGGAACAAAAGTTATTCCATGTGATGTTTCTGCCATATACTAGTAGGTCAAAAGATGTGATGATGCTTCTGCCTGGCCCTCTCTCTGGGAATGTTTGTTCTTGGAGCCCAGCTATCATGCTGTGAACAAGCTCAGATCACATGGACAGGTCTACATGGAGAGGCACAAAGACTGTTGCCCCAAGCCCTGCCTGAGCTTCCAGATAGCAGCTAGCAGCCAGCCAGTACCAACTTGCC